ACAGCTCTGGGATCAGTCAAATCTGCTCAAAGGTATGAGAATACAGACAGGCTGCATCCTGGTCACCTGGTGATATTCAGGTACAGTGCAGGAGACACTGAAGTCAGAAGCTGATAGAACATTTTTCCTAAATAAATCAAGTTGTTCAGGTGACCTGACCAAATGACAACAAACTGTTAAGTATTTTTTAAACTTTTATTGTAGATTATGGTGATAATTGAAAAGTCAAGAAAATTAACCCACTATAAAAAGTATTTTAGCGTGTAAGGACATTTCCAAGAAGCAGGTTGGAATTCTCAGGGACAGCTTGTGGAGATGAAGGCCCCGCCATGGTCCATCACAGCCAACCATGTTCCTGACGACACCACGAGAGTGCGTGAGATGGGAGCATACATCCACAGAAGGATGTGTGAGGCCAAGGCGGGTGGGTCACCCGATGTCAGGCATTCCAGACCAGCCTGGGAATATGATGAAAGCCCATCTCTACTAAAAATACAAAATTAGCCAGGTATGGTGGCAGATGTCTGTAATCCCAGCTACTTGGGAGGCTGAGGCAGGAGAATCGCTTAAACCTGGAAGGTGGAGGTTGCAGTGAGTTGAGATCACACAACTGCACTCCATCCTGGGTGACAGAGTGAGACCTCGTCTCACTCAAAAAAAAAAAAATTTATGTGAACAAAAGCATTGCACAGAAAAACACTTTTATACACAAGTTCACAAATAACGAGGATGGGGTAGAATTAATGGCCATCCTAAAAGAGCTGAGCCATTTGCCCAATCCGCCCGAGAAAGAAAAGTCAAGAGATTTGAACCACTAAGAAATAATGTAGATTCTACAGAACCCGATATTGCCATCAGATAAATAAGGAAACACTTATGAATATTAAAATATATAAATAACTGGGTCCAAACTGCCCGCATCCCAAGTAATTAAGAGAATTGACTACATTTCAAATGCTACTTTTGAAAAATCATGTCGAGTTATAGTAATATCAGAATGCCATAGAGAAATGAATGATTATTGAGCTCAAAAAGGAAAAGTAAATGAGACTGTAATATAGTGATTATTTAACTTAGTGTACAGATTGATCTTGCCTTAAATAATTGCCAATTAACTTCTACTAAAAAATGTAGTATGTATGATATGTGTATAGCATACAAAGGAAAAAAGAAGTAAAATAAGAATATTGGCAGGGCATGGTGGCTCATGCCTGTAATCCCAGCATTTTGGGGGGCCAAAGTGGGAGGATCACCTGAGGTCAGGAGTTCAAGACCAGCCTGGCCAATATGGTGAAACCCCGTCTCTACTAAAAAATATAAAAATTAGCCAGACTTGGTGGCAAGTGCCTGTAATCCCAGCTACTTGGGAGGCTGAGGCAGGAGAATTGCTTGAACGTGGGAGGTAGAGGTTGCAGTGAGCTGAGATCACACCACTGCATTCCAGCCTGGGCAAAAAGAGTGAGACTAGACTCCATCTCAAAAAAAAAAAAAAACTCCAATAATTTTTTTAAAAAAAAGAACATTAAGGATAAACTAAAATACTGAGAATAAAAATATGTGTGTCCCATTGAGAAAATGTTTTCTGAATGCCCACTGAGCGCCACACAGGGACGATGGGAAAGCAGAAGGATAAAAGTGGTAGAAGCGTGCCTTCTAGTGAGGGAGTTAGACCACTCAACTGCAATGCACAGGAAAAAGTAAATGCTCTAAGAGAAGAAGCCGAAATCAAGAGTTATGGGAGGATTAATTTTGGAAGAGGGAATGGGAAAGAGAAGATGGTCAGAAAAGGCTTGAGGGGGACTGCTTTTTGCTGGCTTTAGTGTGTGGTGGGCTTCCAACTGTCTGAGGCCTGGAAGAAACATGCTTAGGGAGAGGGGGCTGGTCTACAAACAGGCAGAAAGGCATGCATTATGAAGACTGTGCCTTGCTAATTGAATTGCTTTTCCAAACATGCTTACAAACAGAGTGACCTCTGTTAGTCAGGTTCCCTGGAAATAGGCTCCGAGATAGAGATTCTTGCACAGAAATAACACCTATAGGAGACTGAGAATGCTATCCTTATCAAAATTCCAAGGGCATTTTGCACAGAAATAGACAAACTATCATAAAACATATATGGAACCACAAAGACCCTCAATAGCCAAAGCAATGTTGAGCAAAAAGAACAAAGCTGGGGCCAGGCATAGTGGCTCACACCTGTATTCCCAGCACTTTAGGAGGCCAAGGCAGGCAGATCACCTGAGGTCAGGAGTTCAGGACCAGCCTGGCCAACATGGCGAAACCCCATCTTTACTAAAAATACAAAAATTAGCCAGGCATGGTGACAGGTGTCTGTAATCCCAGCTACTCAGGAAGATAAGGCAGGAGAATCACTTGAACCCCGGAGACAGAGGTTGTGGTAAGCTGAGATTGTGCCACTGCACTCCAGCCTGGGCAAGAGTGAGACTCCATCTAAAAAAAGGAAAAAAACGAAGCTGGAGGCACCACACACTGTCTGATTTCAAAATATATTACAAAAATATAATAATCAAAACAGCATGGTACTGGCATAAAAACAGACATGTAGACCAAATGGAACAGAATAGAGAGCTCAAAAATAAATCCACACATTTATGGTCAGCTAATCTTCAACAAAGCTGCCAAGAACATATAACAGGGAAAGGAAAATCTCTATAATAAATAGTATTGAGAAAACTGGATATCCACATGCAGAAAAATGAAACTGGGCCTTATCTCACAACGTACAAAAGTCAACTCAAAAATGTATTAAAGATTTAAATGTAAGAGCTGAAACTGTAAAACTACTAGAAGAAAATATAGGAGAAAACTACATGACATTGGCCTGGGTAGTTTTTTGTTGTTGTTTTTGATATAACCCAAAAGGCACAGGCAACAAAAGCAAAACTAGATGAATGGGATTAGATCAAACTAAAAAGCTGCTGCACAGCAAAGTAAATAATCAACAGAGTGAAGAGATGACCTATAGAATGGAAGAAAATATTTGCAAACCAAACATCCTATAAGAGTTAATATACAAAATACATAAGGAACTCAAACAACTGAATAGCAAGAAAACAAATAACCCAATTTAAAAATGGGCAAAGGATCTGAATAGACATCTCTCAAAAGAAGACATACAAATGGCTAACAGATAGATGTAAAAATGGTGAACATCAGTAATCATCAAGGAGATGTAAATTAAAACCACAATGAGATATCACTTCACACCTATTAGAATGGCTATTATCGAAATGACAAAAGATAGCAAGTGAAATGGTTTGGCTCTGTCCCCACCCAAATTTCATCTTGAATTTTAATCTCCATAATCCCCACATGCTAAGGAGAGACAGGTTGGAGGTGATTGGATCACAGGAGTGGTTACCCTCGTGCAGTTCTCATGATACTGAGTTCTCATGAGATCTGATGGTTTTATAAGGGGCTCTTCCCCCTCAACTCCTCACTCACTCTCTCTCACCTGCCACCACGTAAGATGTATCTCTTCCCCTTCTGCCATGATTATAAGTTTTCTAAGGCCTCCCCAGACATGCAGAACTGTGAGTCAATTAAACCTCTTTACTTTATAAATTACTCAGTCTCGGGTAGTATCTTTCTAGCAGTGTGAGAATTAACTCAATATGGCAAGTGTTTGTGAGGGTGTGGAAGAAGAGGACCCTTGCACACTGTTGGTGGGAGTGTCAATTAGGACAGCCATTATGGAAAACAGGATGGAGGTTCCTCAAAAAGTTAAAAATAGAGGTACTATATGATCCAGCAGTCCCACTTCTGGGTATATATCCAAAGGAAATCAAATCAGTATGTTGAAGAGATAGCTTCACTTTCATTTTCATTACAGCATTATTCGCAGTAGCCAAGACATGGACTCAACCTTACTGTCTATCAGTGGATGAATGGATAAAGAAAATGCGGTATGTATACACAGTGGAATACTATTTAGCCTTTAAAAAGAAAGAAGCTGGCTAGGACACAGTGGCTCATGCCTGTGATCCTAGCACTTTGAGAGACTGAGCAGGAGGAGCACTTGAGTACAGGAGTTTCAGACCAGCCTGGACAACATAGCAAGATTCTGTCTCTTCCAAACAAAAAAAAAATACAAAATAAAATGAAGGAAATCCTCTCATTTTCGACAACATGGATGAACCTGGAGGACATTATGCTAGGTGAAATAAACCAGTCACATAAAGGCAAATACTGCATGATCCCACTTATATGTAGAATCTAAAGCCAAATTCATAGAAGCAGGGAGTAGAACGGTGTTTCACAGGGACCCAGGGAATGAAAGTGGATTGGGAGATGTTGGCCAAGAGGCACAAAGTCTCAGTGAGGCAGGGTGAATGAGTTCTGGCGATCTACTGCACAGTGTGATGAGGCTAGTTCATAATAATACATATTTGAAAATTGCTAAGGGAGTAGGTCTTAAATGTTCCCACCACGAAAAGATGAGACACATGTGAGGTGATGGATATGCAAATAAGCTTGGTTTAATCATTTCATAAGGTATAGCGTACATGTGTTGAAACATCACACTGCACACTATAAATATGTGTAGTTTTTACTTGTCAGTTAGACCTGAATAATGCTGGAGGTGGGAAGAAAGAGGAAGAAACAGGGCTGGGCAGGAGAGGTTAGACTGCCCTCAGGAGTTCCCAGGAAATCTCCAGTTGAGGCCAAGGGGCTGCAGCTTTGCGCCTGTACATTAGCCAGCCCATGCAGGCTGTGGGAGGAGGGGGTCACCCTGAGCAAAGCATCCCCTGTCTGAGGCAGAGGGAGATTCCAAGGGTAAGACCCAGCCATCAGTGGCCCACACCCCAGTGCCTGGGGACAGCCTGTTCTGCAAGGGATCGGGGCAGTACTCTGCAGCAGACTCCACAGTGACGCTTGATGTAGTGAAGGATAAACTCCAAAAATGTATGAAAGTGTTTGCATCATTAATGTCTATTTTAACTAAAAGCGCCAATGGGATTAAAAATCCTGGTAAACTGATCCTTTTGTAGCTCATAAGCATGATGAGTAGGATTTCACACTCACGTGCGAGATATGCCTCCCTCAAACCTTATAAATGATAATGGTATGTGAGCCGTCTGACATTTAAAAAAAAATCATGGTAAACCACAGAAGATTCCAGGTGAATTTTGGGGCATGTAAAAACATGACTTCCTGCTTATATTAGGCTGTTCTTGCATTGCTATAAGGAAATACCTGAGACTGGATAATTTTTAAGAGATTTAATTGACTCACAGTTCTGCAGGCTGTACAGGAAGCAATGTGCTGGCATCTGCTCCTCGGGAGGCCTCAGGAAGCTTTTACTCCAGATAGAGGGCGAAGTAGGAGCAGATACATCACATGGCGAAAGCAGGAGGGAGGTCAGGGGTAACGTGCCACATACCTAACAACGAAACCTCACCAGTCCTCACTCACTGTAGCAGGGACAGCACCAAGCCACAAGGGATCCACCTTATGACCAAAGCTCACCTCCCACCAGGCCTCGCCTCCAACCCTGGGGATTCCATTTCAACATGAGATTTGAGCGCCATCGAATACTCAAACTGCTGTATCACTGCTGTTCTAATGAGTTAGTTAGAAGCTGAAGATGCACCAGTATATGTAACGGAGGGTAATAAGAGGACTGTAAGCCATTCCTGTGGGTGTGCTGTCCTTCATGAAGGAGCAGAGCCGGCAGCCTACCCGTCATGGTGGGACTTGCACTGAGCTAGGTCAGCAGCAGCAGAAAGAGCTTTACACTGACGGAGACTGCACAGCTTTAACACCCGGTCCTCCAAACGTTCACACTTACACCCAGACCCTCATACATGTTTGCAGGACTGGCCAAAGATGGGTCCTGCCTATCAAGATAAACTGCCCTCCCTGTGGCAAGAATGAAACCCACAACTTGGGTGTTATTAGTGTAAGCTCTCATCAAATTGACACCACCAGACATAGATTATGATAATAAGAAAATAAGGCAGATGTGACTAGCTGATAAGATATGCCCAAGTTGGAAAAACTAATTTCAGCTTAGAAAAACGGCACACTAATGAAGCTTTTAAAAATTAATTTATGATTAAAGATCATACAGAGAGGCAATGATGGTGAAAACCACAATGAACATCAAAACAAGCATGAGTTCCAAGTTTAGAAACGTAGCCAAGAACATTATCGTTTTTAAATATACAGAGAAGACGCATATACCTGTTTCCTGTTTAGGATGTATATATTCGAAAACAAAATTATTTTTTTTCAATCTACCACTAATCAGTGTGACAAAAAGCCATGACCCTCCAGGAATTCGACCAGCCCTCCAGGCAATGGATTCTTCAAGTGCGAGCAGGTTGAAGGACTTCTGGCAGCAGACAGTGTAGTCAGAGTCCCTGAGCCCAGAGGGTGTTCTTAATCTATGCCTGAAAATGACTGACATGGATGCCAGTGGAGGCAGATAAGCTCTGGAAACGTTTAAGCAGGCAAAAAAAAAAAAAAAAAAAAAAAGAAGAAGAAGAAGAAGAAAAGAAAAGAAAAGAAAAAAACGCAAACCTAGAAGAGTGTCTGGCACACAGTGGAGGCTCAACATGTGCTAGATTAATTCATTAATTCATTCAAAATTATGTTGGTGATCAGCTTATGACAAATAGATTCAGATAGTGCACCGATGCACTGGCATTATGGTATGATAAGTAAACCAACTTTATACAAAAGAATTCCTTCTTATGGGAAAAGCACTGTCATTTTTTTAACACACTTCCGTCAATACTGTAGGAGTAAAGGAACCATGATGAATGAACTTGATTATTTTTATAAAATTTCCCAAAGTAAAAATTTCGGCTGAAAATTAAAAAAAAAAAAAAACCTTTATAGATTAGAATAAATGCAGCCTGGAGTAATTCTCTAGCACAGTGGCCAACATTTGGACACATCAAATAAGTCTTAAAGGTCATGGAATGAGTAGTTGTGTATGTTTTTCCATTCTAGACAGCTTGAAATTTAGTGTCTAACTGAAAAGTCCAAAACTATAAAACTCCTGAAAATAAGCTTTCCAAAATGACTAGTTTACTTTCTACCTGGAACTTAAAATAGGATGGAAGGGAAGTCTAAATCTGAGAAAGTAGAATCTCCTTCTAATGTTTTGTTTACACAAATAGTGAACATTTTACTACACTAAAAAGGACTAAATTTCATATCTCAATGTAAAAGTATTTGCAGGCCGGGCATAGTGGTTCATACCTGTGATCCCAGTGCTCTGGGAGGCTGAGGCAGGAGGATCATTTGAGGCCAGGAGTTCAAGACCAGCCTAGTCAACATAGTGAGACTCCTGTCTCTACAAAAAATTAGCCAGGGGAGTAGTGGTGAGCACTTGTGATATTCAGGAGGCTGAGGCAGGAGGATCACTTGAGCCCAGGAGTTAGAGGCTGCAGTGAGCAATAGTCATGCCACTACACTCCAGCCTGGGTGATAGAGTGAAACCCCGTCTCTAAAAAAGAACAACAACAGCAAAAGAACAGCATTTGCCATTCTTTTCAAAGCACTGATTCTTCTGCTTCTCAGAGCACTTAGATGGCATCTGATCTTTGCTTGCCAGAATCATCATTTGATGGTTTGGCAAGGAGTTGTCTGCAGGCTTTGCCCCAGTAAGGGTTCCAAAGACCTTCAGCTACAACTTGAACAACCTCCCCCTTGGCACAACTGTGGCATCCGTAGACAACGGCCATCATTTCCCCTCAGTTAACTAGTCTCATGACTTTTTAAAGTAGTAATCGCACAGCTGTCAAATGCTGTTGGAAGATACCCTTGAATAGTTCTAGGAGAACCCCCCTCTGGGAAGAAATTTGGGACAGAAGGATTTTTCTTCAGAAGGAAGAAAGATGGATGAGGAAGCACTGACTTCCTCTCATGAGGACCCACAGGCTCCACAATTCCTTCAGAGGCTGTGTCAGCAAAATGCCCAGAACTGTCTCCAGGTGACAGCAGAGGTCAATTTCGGGTCCACAGAGTCCCACTAAGCTCCTATAATTTAGAACCTAATTCAGTTCTAACCTGATGGTGAAATTATTCAACAGTTTGCCTCTGGGCATTGAAATAAGTAATAAAAAACAGCAAATTTAATATTGCTATTGTTGCACCCTCTACAGTGACATCAGAAGCTCCTCCAAGTCCTACTTCCTTCCAAGTGGACGTCTTCATAGTACATTGTCCTTTGTGAAAACTCTTTGCAAAGAGTTTTATGTCTATATATGTAATATTTGTGCCATGCCATACAGTTTTTTTTGTTTTGTTTTTTGTTTTTTTTTGAGACGGAGTTTCACTCTTGTTACCCAGGCTGGAGTGCAATGGCGCGATCTCGGCTCACCGCAACCTCCACCTCCTGGGTTCAGGCAATTCTCCTGCCTCAGCCTCCTGAGTAGCTGGGATTACAGGCACACGCCACCATGCCCAGCTGAATTTTTGTATTTTTAGTGGAGACGGGGTTTCACCATGTTGACCAGGATGGTCTCGATCTCTTGACCTCGTGATCCACCCGCCTCGGCCTCCCAAAGTGCTGGGATTACAGGCGTAAGCCACCGAGTCCAGCCCGCCATACAGTTTTTAAAGAGTTTTGCAAATACAAATCTTCTTCACTACACAGCACTCCTTTAAGATAAACCATTCGATAACCAATTTTTAATCTCTTCATAGTAGCACAAGAGGCTGTGTTCTTTATATTTGGAAATTATGCCCCTTAGAATACCAGTTATTCCTGTTTATCAGCCTAAGTGTATGTGGAGTACTTACTATGAATCTCCTCCACACATAGCATTTTTTAGTGCAGTAAAATATTCACTATTTTAATGGACAAAACATCAGAAAGAGATTCTACTTTCTCAGAACTAGACTTCCCTTCCCTCCTCCTATTTTAAGTTCCAGGGAGAAAATAAACTAGTTATTTGGAAAGTTTATTTTCAGTGGAGTGTTATAGCTTTGGACTTTTGAACAGACATTAAATTTCATGCCATCTAGAATGGAAAAACATATATAACTAGACTCATTCCATAGACTTCAAGACTTATTTGATGTGTCCAAATGTGTCCAACTATGTGTCTACTGTGTGCTCATTGCTGATGGAAATAGCAACAGTAATTCACCTTCAAAATCCCTAAAATGTGGTTGAATAAACAAAGAACGCAGAACGGTGTATAATGCCAAAACAAGTGCAGAGTTGGGGAGGAAAATCTCAGAAGGAGCTTCAGACATCCAGAAAAGACTTTTTAGAGGAGCAAGCCTTTCAAGTAGGCCTCGAAAGACAGTATTTTGAGACAGAGGAGGAGATAGGTAGGGTGTAATTACAGCCTAGTGAAAGAAGCCTGCAAGGCAGAAAGGAATATAGTATTGCGATGGCAGAGGAGAGAGGTCCAGGGTGAAGATCCCTGCAAAGGCAATGGCTCCTCTCAGCCAGCAGAGAAAGTGGAGACCCCAAACAGGGGCTTCCAAGATGGGATGTGTCTGTGCTGGGAGCAGCACCGCCTTTGGGAGGCTGGCAACACAGGCAGGCCCACGGGGGAGCCGTGGCTTGCTGGCCAGGTAGGCGGGCCCACAGGGGAGTCATGGCTTGCTGGCCAGGTAGGCGGGTCCACAGGGGAGCCGTGGCTTGCTGTCTGGGCTTTCTGCTGCCGGCAGCACTGGCATCCTCCAAAATTGCTTCCTGGGGCTTTTCTATTTCTCTTCACTCCACCCACTATCTTTTTTTGTGTCCTGTGATCCATTCACTGCCGTGACATTGAACATGCTGTTAGAACAAGAAAACAATAGTCTATGTCATGTTAATAACATCCTGCCTCAATCCTGGCCAGAGTTCTCTGCCCAGACCCTTTCTAAAGCAGTGGACAGTCCCCAGGTGGACTTGCTGGAAGTGTGCACCGGCGCTGCAAACGGGAGAGCCCCGGGCTGCTCTGACATCATGACCACACTGGCATCCTGGGTCGTCATGCCCTGCACTGATGCAGACAATTCCATACAGATGGATCAGCAACTTTGCAGGTCGTGACAACTATAAGCCCAGTTCAGCTTAGCCAGGATGCCCCAGCAAAAGGTGACTTCACATCGGGTAGTTTGAAAAGGCAAG